CAAGGCATCTGCCATCTTGCCCAACAACCCTTATTATCTAATATATAGCGTTTCTCACTCTCAAACGCTTCACAAATGAGATCAGTTTCATTATCTCTGGATGGCAAATCCAGAGGGAGAAGAGGTATTTTGACTCATCCAGGATCAAGTTGAAGACCATGACCAAGCAGCATCCAGAATCTAGCATTTGGTCTACTGGGAATTTCCTTTCAGATGGCCATCTTTTAGTATTGCCTACCAACCTCAACTCCTGGTCTTCAGCTTGCAGAGATGATTTGGAGAGAAAGAAAAGTCTGCAGTAATTTCCCATTATGCCCCACAATGGACACCTGAGCTATTCCAAAACAAAGGAAAAACCTGGGTAAAGTCTGTGGGCCTCGCACAGCAATTTGGCTGCCACAAAGCCAGTGTATCAATCATTATGTGCAGACAGCATGGAGCTTGAGCTGAGAACTCCTGCCAGGCCCTGGCATGCTTAGCCTGGGGCTAGCCCAGGTGGCCCTGGGGTGCACCTAGCCACCACACAGACAGCCCACGTGTGGGTAAGCGCTTGACCTCGGCCTCAAGGATGGCAGTAAGTGTCAGCAGCATCTGCCTTCCCAGCTCGCTGGGCTGCCACATCTCGGACACCATGGTACGCACAGCCAGGTGGGCAGGAGGCTTTTGTTAGGCAAAGCAGTTTGTTGTGACAGAACATGGCTGCAATATTGTTCTACGAGCAGTACCCACTGAGCACATGCACGAGCTCCACTGCGGTTCTCGTTGCTCCCTTCTCATACCAGATGTGACTTCCATATGTAATTGGTTTGCAGCAGTGCTTTAGAAGGGCTTTCTAGTGCCCTTACAGCCAGTTGGTGCCCTAGACCATAGCATGACATAGCATGAGCAATTCCTTCTTTGCCACTCAAGTCTAGTGTTTCACTGACACTGCTGAATATGTCAAAACTCTCTAAGCAATCAGCTGAACACCCACAAAACTTATGACTTGATGATATCATGCCTTTTCCTCCTTCAATCTACCTTTGCAATTGTTTCTAACAGAAATGTCTACTTTTAAAAAAAAAATCACTAAGCAATCTGGCAAGTACATATTCATTTATTTTAAGCTTCTTTAAGGATAAACCATTATCTTTAGTCAGTCTAAGATTGGAGTCTGTGTATCACCTGGTCTGTTATAATATAAGATGCTGAACACCCTTGTCATCATGAGTCAAATGTGCTTGGTACAACCTGTCTAGATACATAAGTGACCTCAGCCACTGTAGTACATGATTCATCTCATCCAAGAAAAGCGGGATGGGATGTTCTTCCCACGGTGCAGGTAGGAACAACAGAGGAACTGAGACACAGGCAAGTAAATTGTCTTAGCCAAAATTACACAAAAAGGTCCTTACAAAACTGAGGCTCAGACACTGGTTTCTCAGATCTCAAGCAAATACCCTGAACAGGGGAGACCTCACAGGATTGGACTCATGGTCTTATATTTCTTAAGACTCTCTTTATTCCATGCTGCTAAAGAAAATGATGGTTGGCACAAGGCTTCATACTGTCTGTCCTTTCTCTGACACTCTGCAGTTTGTGAGACATGATTTGTGTGCAGTTTACCCTAACAAAAATCCTTGCTGGGAATATATGTTGATGTTAAGTAGTGGTATGGGGGACTGGAAAAAAACAGAATTCAGCCTCAACCCTGAGTCTTGGGGACTTAAAACAGCTGGACCACAACTGCCATTACCTCCCTGCCAGAAACAGAACGCCTTATGATGAAATGAGAACTTGAATGTGACTGCAAGTACTAAAACAACTCTGGGAGATGCAGCAGTTGCTTGAAAGAGGTGGTATGTAAAGACTCTCTCATTTATAGAAACACAGTTTTCCTTAAAGGAGTTGTGATCTGATGGCCTCTGTCTCTTTAAGAGTGTTCTCTGAGTGTTCTGGGCTGTTGGTCTAGGGTGGCTGTTTTCTTCCTTTGTGGAGTAGGAGGTGATACAGGAGCAACTATTCATCTTGAAAGCCCTTTATAATTATTAATTTTTTTGAGGAAGGGATCAGCGTCTGGAAACAGGCAAGTATAAGATGAAACATGGCCATGCAACTAAATTGGCAGTGGCCACCCAGATCTGGGTGCAAAGTGAATGGTTCGATGCTGATACTTCAAATTCATAGACTGTCAGAAAAGGTTACTTCTCGAAGTATCAGCTGAGGAAAGGGCCCACAGTCATTCTGTTACAGGCATTTGGCTGTAACGAGGTGTCCTGGGTTCAGCTGGGATAGAGTTAATTTTTTTTTTACAGGAACCTGGGAGGGGGGGGGCACAGCCGGGACAGCTGACCTGAACTAGCCAAGGAGCTATTCCATACCATGTGACATCATGCTCAGTATATAAATGGGGAGCGGGCTAGGGGGTGCCCTCTTGGCTTTCGGTGGGGGAAGTGGCGGAGCGTCGGGTTCCGGGTGGTGAGCAGTTGCACTGTGCATCACTCTTTTTGTATATTCTTTTATTACTACCGTTGTTGTTGTAACTTCTTTTTTTGTGTGTTGTCCCAGTAAATTGTCCTTATCTCATCCCTCGAGGTTCCGGGGTTTGTTTGTTTGTTTTTCTCCTTTTTGATTCTCCTCCCCATCCCACGGGTGGGAGGAGTGAGTGAGCGAGCAGCTGCGTGGTGCTTTGTTACCGGCTGGGCTGAAACCATGACACGAGGTAGTAAATTTTGCTACACTTTGCAGTCATATGCGCTGTCAAGGCTTTCTTTAGTCACGTGGTCAATAGAGACATGGGAGAAATTGTCAGCAACTTTGGAGACTTCTACAGAGAGCTCACCAGTGAGAGGCAGCTCTGCTGGGTAAGACACATTGGAGGTGCCGCTGTGAAAAGGATAGTAACAAACATATAAGTTGTGCATTTTCACAAAGTATTTCCATTTTTATTCTTGGAAATTGGGAACATATCTGGTGCTAAAGCAAGCCAGTGTGAAAGTGACCACTCTGAGAGTTCCAGGTGGGTATTTGATGCAAGTTGCACATTTCAGCATCTACTTATTTTGTAATTTTTAACTAATATAGATTCCTTTTTTTTTCCTGTATCAGTGTCTTTTCCTCTTGCTGTGTTATCAACAGTGCTGTCTTTTAATCTGTGGTAAACAAAATATCATTTAACAGAAACTGAGACATCGGTGAGTATCAAACCACTGCGGACAACACTGCTGGATGTACATTTGTTTGCTCAACAGATTGGACCAGAGAAAGGTGCTGTGCACTTGGCCACAGCTGTGGTCCTGAATGCTCTATGGGACAAGTGAAAGGGAAAGGTAATGCTCATGGGATCTCCATATAAGAATGCTCATTAATTCAGAGAGATTCCTTGCTCCTGGTTGCTCCTGTTTGCACATCTGGTCTTGATTTTGCAGTAATTTATACATATGTTTAGCTTTAAAATATCAGATAAAGTACAGGCATCACCAAGTTCCTGGAGACTCTGCACATGCCCAGTTTTTGCAAGCTGGAAAATTGTAGCAACTGCACAGTGCTTAGTGGTGGAATTGGTCAAAACATTTCAGAGTAATTTTGTCAGAGTTCTGACATTTCTGAAAGAAAACATTTTTGCCTAGCTCTGCTTATCAGATGTTTCTTTGTATGCCCTTCTCTTGATTTAATCTTTCTTACTTGGAGATTTTAATCTCAGATTTTAAACTTTTAGCCACTTCCCTACTGAATATGCTGTTGATCTGGGAGCCAAATCTTGTATACTTAGCATGTTACTGGATATTAAAAGTAACCTATTCAGGCAGTGATGTGAGCAACCATAAAGGTGGCCTGGTTAGAAGGGGAAATTACTGAACAAAAGAGATTGTCTGCTCAAAGATACTGACAAAGAAAGGGCCGCCAGCCTGGAATGGTGAGCTGGGGACTAGCACTGTGAACTATAAAAAAACATCCTTGAAAAGTGCAGCTGGCCTCTTTGAAGTGCAGCCGGGGTACCTAGAAACCAGAGACATCCACAGATACCACTGATAAGTGGAAAACAAGGGACTGTAACACCAATTTTCATCTGAGAAGGTGGAAGACAGTCTGAAAAAAAAAATTGCTCTGAAGGAACAGAAGACAGCATCATCTATTGGCTGTTACAGGTGAAAAATAGAAATTAACAGCATCTATTGGCTGTTCAATGTCCTACTCCCTCTTATGTCTCTGTGATATAAAAAAGACACAATTTTTATCCAAAATGGAGCCTCTCTCTTTCTGAGAACTTCCCAGTTGAATCCCAGACTAACTTTCTATGAGCTCTTGGGCTGTCCCCAGGGATGCCTGGCTGAAATCAGAGTCTGGGATGCAGATCATTTTGGAAGTGGGACTCTGCCTGCTGTCTTACTGGCTCAGTCTGTCCTCCCCTCTTTTGGGGATGGTTGGTGTCCCACTGGGATCTGAAATCTGTCTAATTCACTTCATATAGATATTTTATATATTCATGTAAGTAATTTATCTTAAATATATCTGCTGTTATATTGTTTATAAGTTTGCTTCATTAATGATAAGCTGTAGTAATCTGGAATAGTACATAGCTACCTGGCTGCTGCTGTTATTGGTTGTACTACAATATTGATCGATACCGTACTACTGATCGCTGATAGTAATTTGTAATAGCTTGATATATGTTCGTTCATATTAATTTTATTAATTGTAGATATGTTTGCTAATGGCGATTTTTGTGGTAGTATACTTGCTTGTGGTGATTTTTGTGGTATTTGTGGTAATCTGTAATAAAGTAGAGAAATTTAGAGGATAAAACTTCCATGTCCTTGAGTATTACAGAATCCTACAAACCCACAGTTGTGATGTCTCCACACCTGTAAGCCAGGTAACCCTTTAGCTTGTGACAGTCAGAAATTGGCCTTTTGCTCTGTGAGCTTAAAACCCTTGGTATGGTGGAGTCCTAGTCCAGAACTAGCATGTCAGGCCCCTGCAGGAGGACAAGTAACGCCTGGTACAACGTTGCTGTGGCCATATCCTGACAGGCATAGTTGGACAGGCTTGCTGTTTTGCAGACCTTCTGATTTAAGAGGACAGAAACAGCAAAAAGCTGTAGCTAGCACTGACTGGAGTTAGCTGCTGTGCACACTCATGTAGCATGTGGCTTGGGACATGCCACCGCACTACCCTGACTGTAGAGCTTGCAGGGGAGAGTGGGCTTGAGTCCCACCAGCTCAGACCTGCCAGCATACACTCTTTTTCTTTACTTCTCTACTGGATTGAGCCTTCATGTATCATTGCTTGTGAAAGCAATCAGCAAACTTCAGCTTGCCAAAGCCCAAGAGCATAACACAGCCCAAAAAAAGAGGCTCATCAAAAAATTCACAAAGAGACTTCTTATATGTTGAAAGGGTATGATGATGATTTCCAGCAAGGGAGGGGGCCGGAGGGAAGGTCACCATTTCAGATTGCTGGCATGAGGTGCTTTTTTTTTTCTTTTTTAATAATCACCCCACCAATATTGCTTCCATAATGAAACCAGGTTAAGAAGGATGCTCAATCCTTAATGATTTTCAGGGGAAAGTGTCTAATGTTCTTGCTTGGGGTTGAGAACCACATTGCTTTGGTGTCAGTAATCAATGTTGTGTGCCAAATGTAAACACACTTGCACTTCATGACACTTCCTTATAAAGAAAAAAGCATCTGTATGTTATCTCTTTTACAGCAGCCATGAGGTTCCAGTTATTTAATTTGTTTTGTTTTCTAGTTTATGTGGAAATTACTAGTTGACATGGTAAGGAAATCTTGTTATATTTCCAGTCTAAAGGCAACTGGATCCTATTATTTTTAACTGTATTAGAAGAGTACATGTTTTAGTTGGTGTCCAAACTAAAATGGACTTACAGCTAATTTCAAACAGAAGCTCTTTCCCTGGTGGCAGGTGTTACTTTCTGCTCAGAGATGTTCTTCCCTCCCAACATTACCTTCTTCATGTGTCTACCCTCATACAGAGATGTAAACTAGCCCCTCTTGTGGGGAAACTGGACAGGTTGTCTTGTCCAGCTATGACGTCATAGCTGGGCAGTGGGAACTGATGTTTAGTGCTAACAGGAAGCTGTGTACTTAAAGATTGCGCTTTAATCTGTAGGTCTTTGTTTATGATTTGGCCAAGGAGCTGCTTTTCTTTAAGTCTGGATAACTGGGGGGTTGTTTTAATTTTTTTAATTGCTGGGGGCTTTTTCCAAAAATAACTCTTTACTTAAAACTCAGTAATTGAACTGTGTATGCTGTCATTGTCTGCTAGCAAATGCTCGGGCCTTGCGTGTTGATCTGTTTGCTGAAGTGGTCAGTCATTTGGGGGGAATTCTGTTCAGTATTAAGATCTAAAAGAGCCTGTTCTAAAATAACCTGGCTTTTCCTTTCCAGGAGGTGTGACAACAGGGGTGCTTCTCTGTCTTAATTTGACAGCTGAAAACTGTGACTTGGCTTTCCTGTTTAGTTTTTTTTTATCCTGCTTGGATAGAGTTTAAAAGGAAGCTGAAAAGGGCTTATTATCAACTACTCATAGCCATGAAATTAGGCTTACACATGTTTGGCAGTGCAACACAGGCTGATGAGGTGGTTGGGAGGGAAGGCTTACAGTATCTACTGTGTCAATTCCCTGCTTGCTTCAGAGAAATAAGGAAAAGATTGACAGCCATTCCTCAAGTGACTAGCACTACTTAATCTTTTTTTCATCATACTATTTTATTGTGCTATGATTTTTTATTTTATATGTCAACCTTGAATCAGGATGCCAAACAATTGCTATTCTGCATGGATTTCAGATATATTACTGATCTTCTAACAGATAAGAAGCTTATGGTAAGTAATCTTTCCTTCAAAGCTGGACTTTGGTACCCTCCATCTTCCTAATCTTTGAGTTTTCTCATCAGTTTTGATGGGAGTGGCTCACTCAGGAATATATCACCAGCCTGTGAGACTAAGAGAGGTTGGAGGGACAACCGTAATGATGAAATCTGGAGGGTGAGGAGAAGTTGTTGTTCAGTGTAATTTGATATTTATGCTTGTTCCACTTCAGAAATACTCTAAAGTGGCCTGCTTGGGGAAAAAGGAAAGGGGTGAGCTTAAACAGTTCTATACCTGATGAAAACCATTACTCTGCATCTCTAGGAGAATGGGAAGGGGACTGTGTGAGATGAAGCCTGTTGTTTGCTTGCACCTTCTCATGTGTTCCAGGAATGCAAAGTCAGACATTCAGTTTGTGCTACATTGGTGACTTTGCCGTATAACATCTTGTGTTGGGTTAGCAAGGATATTGTGCTGTTCTCTGCTTCCTCCAAGGATTTATCTGTGCCATGGTTTAACCCCAGCTGGCAACTAAACACCACGCAGCCGCTTGCTTACTCCCCCCCACCAGGCGGGATGGGGGACAAAATTAAAAAAAAGTAAAACTTGTCAGTCAATATAAAGACAGTTTAATAGGACAGAAAGGAAGAAAATAATGATAATAATTATTAATAATAATAAATTACAGTAATAATAATAAAAGAATACACAAAACAAGTGATGCACAATGCAATTGCTCACCACTTGCTGACAGATGCCCAGTTAGTTCCTGAGCAGTGATCCCCCCCAGGCCAACTCTCCCCAGTTTATATACTGGACATGACGTCACATGGTATGGAATACCCTTTAGGCCAGTTTGGGTCAGCTGTCCTGGCTGTGTCCCCTCCCAACTTCTTGTGCCCCTCCAGCCTTCTTGCTGGCTGGGCATGAGAAGCTGAAAAATCCTTGACTTAGTCTAAACACTACTCAGCAACAACCAAAACCATCAGTGTGTTATCAACATTATTCCAATACTTAATCTAAAACATATCACTATACTAGCTACTAAAAAGAAAATTAACTCTATCCCAGCCAAAAGGAGGACAATCTGGTTAGGAGTTCTCTTGCAATGAAATATCTAGGGAGAAGAGGGAAGGACTTATTCAGCAAAATTCATCTATTTGATTAAAATTGTGGCTTTCAAGAAAAAAAAAGTCAAAACACCTCCAATCCTTCAGTTTCCCCAAAGAACATTCTTTGATGTACTATTTAACAAAATAATCCTCTGTTGACTAAAACACAGCCTGACTTGAAACCATCCTCATCCACTTCAGAAGAGCAAATGTTGAAGCATGGATATCTGGCTTATACAACATCCTGTGCCTGGCTGGGCTACTCAGACCAGCAGTTAAAACAGGTTTGAATGTTTGATTTTACAATAGTAAGATTTTAAGTATGTGAAGTGGGGAAATGCTAACAGATGATGATCAATTCTCGTTGCTCGCTCCTATATAACTCTAGAAGTTTTGCTGGACTGAATAAAAATGTAACATTGCAGATCCATTTTGGGAGGTAAAAAGCAGGCCAAATGCCATTAAGTAATTTTCCCAGTAAGGCAGAATGTTACAGTCCTGTCTATGATCAAGGATATACCCAAGGAATATGAGTATTGAGAACAAGGTATTAAGCTAGAAGTAGAAGTCTCTTTATATTGGTATATTATGTATAACAGCGAGTTTGCATGGGTGCAGCAGTGTTGGTTTAAGTAAGGAGCTTATGCACATAGGGATACTCCGCAGAGTGATATGAATTAACCAAAAGTGTGATCATTAGGAGTGTTAATGAAAACACATAAAATCTGTGCTTGGATAGCTATGTTCAGAAGCACAGATGCCCTTAACCTGCAGTAACTTCATAGATGAGAAATGGGGATGTCTCCTTCACAGACAACATGAACGGCAAAAGTTCATAATTGCTGGTTTCTTCTAGAACTTCTGGTTGCCTTGGCTTTGAGGGATACTCTGAAACTGTCAGCAGCAGAAGGTCCTTAGCTTCCTTCATAAAACAACATCCTCATTGCCAGAGAGAGTTGCACGTGCTTGGCTCTCTGTGAAATACTGTGAAACCTTTGGACAGTTTATTGGCGTCAGATTTAGTTAATATAGCTGGGATTTATCTTCTGGGAAATACACACCTTGGTATATCTAGAAATAGTGTTGCTGAGTCATGGGATGTTCATACCTGGGTTAGAAAAAATTATCATATGTCACAGCTGGGTTGAGGAGTTTGGTTCAGCTGGATGTTATTCATATATCTGATCTCATTTTCTGATGTTTTTCTGCTACCTCTCAGGAAGACATAAAAAGCTTATTCTTACTCTGAAAATGTGTAAATTAATATTATTCTAGATGCAGTGTGATAGAGTTACTTGGAGATGTATAATCAATGTAACTTTGCTTGCAGTTACGCACATAGGCCTTGAGAGAAGGCTGGACAATGTATAGTAAATGTTTGTATTGAGTATTATTCTTCTGTGTTTTATGCTTTGAACAGATGGACTAGACCTAGTCTTAACTCTTCCAGGTCTATGATATGGACAGTGACTTTGCTTCTGTATCTGAGAAGATGTCTGAGAGGCACTTCCCCCTTCTACTACTGCATGAAGCTGCATTGCAGAAAACAGTAAAGGCATGGCAAAGCTGAGGGCTGATCACAAATGAAGATAAACGTGTTTCCATTGATTTCTGAAAAAAGCATTGCTTTTTTATTTTCACAGTAGGATGAAGCTTGCTCACAAGGGAAGAGAAGTAATAAGAAAGTTCTTTCTGTGAGACAGTGATGCTGAAATTATAAATTCTAGTTTATGGATTCCAGTTTACTGCTGCATTAATCATTAAGTGATCTATATCTTGTTCCAAATATGCATCTAGGTTCAGAGTAAAGGTGAGTGCAGATCTGCAGGATGATATTTGCAGATGCAGATTTGTAGGAGAAATGATTGGTCCAGACAAAATAATGGTGAATATCACTTTTTGCTACTATACTATGTTATTTTCCATTTAAAACCATTTGATGAAATATCTCTCATTATATATGTTTCTTGACAAATATTTTTTCTTCCTTCTTCAAATCCTGAATAACAATGGCAACAAATGTTTATATATATCAACAAAGAGCAGTACTGGACATGACCAAATTAGATGTAGTACTAAGAATTTTATCCTGTATTTCTGTGCCAGAATTTCCATTCAAGACTGTGGGGAACCCCACTTCCAGGATTGTCTTCTAGAAGATTTTAAGTGCCTTTTACATCCAGGGAGGCTTCCAGAGGAAAGCCTGTTAATATTTTTTCACTTATGCTTGGCTGAAAATAAACTGGAAAATTTTTTCAAACTGAAGTATTTGAATGAAAAGGAGTAATTAGATAGAAGTCACACATTTTGCTTTGGAAATGTTACTCTGTTGACTGCTATGGGCTGGATTTTTTGCCCCATGTGTTCCCTGACACTCCAAAGCTGCTGGGTGCTGCAGTGTAGCATGGAGCTTTCATGGGATGCCATATATCATGAAATGCCAAACCAGGAACTTCGTGAATACAGGATGGCAAGGACCTGAAGAGCTTGCAGAGGAACTGTAGTGTCATTTTCAGATGTTTCACTTTTTGTAGGGAGAAAAATTCTCCCTTGTGTGGGAGAGAGGTGCTGCTTGAGCAACTCATTTAAACTACTGCATTTTTTTTGTCAAGAATCTTTTCTGTTGAAAACTTCAGGCAGCCATGCCCATGTTTTAGGGTGTTTTACTTAAGTACATGCTGCCAAGATACACTCATTCCCACAGAAGACTCTGCTCTGCTTCCTACAGCTCCTGACCTCCTTGGTTCAAACCTAGTCTGGATATTGCTGTAGTCATTGCAACTCAGTGTAAGTGTGGCCAAAAGTACGATAGGAACAGAATGGCAATTCCAGCTTTTCATTTCCTTCCTATTTCCTGAATTTCTACCACTTCATATTGATTTTGCAGCTCTTTATGAGAGTTTGACAGGAAAAAAATGTCAATAGAATCCTTCAGTGTATTTGATTCTTATTTTCCTTATCCCCAGATGCTGGATGCAAACAAACAATGGGAAATAAAGGAAGCAATAGAGTGGGTCACTAAACCATCTGAGTTTAAACCCTTGTGGATTAAGGAGCCAACTTTTCCAGATGAGGATATGCCTTTCCAGACAGGACATGCAGCCATTTCAAAGGCTGGAGAGTTAATTTTTTTTATTTCAATAATAATACAGTGACTCCAGTCAGCACTGTAGTGTACTGTTGATACTTCACATATTCAGAGTTCATGTTGAACTAGTTATTCAGAGTACCATTAAATGTATTTGTTACAGGACCTTGACACGCATTCTACACATGTATTCCCTTAAGTTTAAAGAAATAGTTTGTTTCTAAAAAAAAAAATGTTAAAGGACTGTAATGCCTGCATGAGGAAGGCAGCCAACATTTAGTATGAAATGACCTTTTTTTTTTTTAAAATGTGTGGTTTCCAGTGGAATTGGAAGTTTCATTCAGAATTTGTGCTCCCAACACGCTATACTTAGCAGCACTGTTAAAACCCCAGATGTACAGTATGTGCATTTCTTTACTGATCCACACACTCTGCTATACAATCCTTTACATGGCTTGTGGAGCAGAGAAAGCTGAAAAAAAATCAATAAAAAAATTTATAACATGTTACATTTTCTATAAAATGAGTAGAACACAATATGCTGAATCATCTGTTATTTCATCCTTTACGCTACTGAGTAACTCCATTGGGAATTAAAAACCAGAAGCAAGTCTTGAATGTTTGTTATGTCCTTGCAGGCCCTAGCACTGCTAGAAATTGGTGTGGCAACCAGAGGACATGTGAGTATATGTATAAGTGCTTTGGGCTTTTTCCTAATTACTACTTGTTTAATGCAACTACTACATAACCTTTGGAGCTGGTGCCAAAACTCCTCTGCATTTCTCACTAAAGTTAAATGCTACAGCTGAAAATTACTTGGTATCTATTTCAGCTGTTCCCTACCAAGGTTGCCTCCCTTACCTCTCTGGTTCATTCTTCCCACACGTGATTTCTGTGAACAACCTGGAAATACCTGATTTTTTTTTATTATTATTATTATGAGAGTAACTGCTAAAATTTCATATTCTCACATCAGCGAGAAGTATGAAAGAATGCATCCATGGTTGTGATTGCCCATCTGAAAGGTAGAAAAGCAAGGTACCAAGAGTAAGTCCATGCTGCTCTTTGGAGCACACTGCAGCTCCATGAGACAGCTTGCATAACATCTGTGCAGAACAGAGTAGGCCGGACAATGTGGTCTGCAGTGAGCTGCAGGGCTGCTGAAGCTGATATCCCCTGTAGCCCAAAGATAGTTATGACAGCTCCTATTTGCTCTGTGGGTTTGGTGCTTAAGCAAGTCTTTTGCTTGGCACAGCAGCACATGGCGTAGCCATGACCTTGCAGTGGCTATATGAAGGTGTGGTTTTTAGAGTGGAGAGGTTCCTGGCTCCTCTTCTTGTATCAACTCTATTTCTGCTGCACTAACTCAACTGTAAAGATCAAAATCCAGAAAATCATGCTGTTAGCAAGTTGTAGTTCATCCTCTTGGTGGCACCAGGGGCACTGTCAGGGGTGCAGGGAGGGCTGGGGAGCCAGGAGCTGACAGCAGGGCTGGCAGGGCAGGTCTGGGGCCGTCAGCTGAGAAGGTTGCCAGACCAGGTCATGGTGAGGAGACAGCTCTGAGGGCAGGGTCTGGCCTGGTGACAGGGACCAGGGTCAGATGCAGCCCAGTGACTGCCAGCCTGTCCACGGTGATGAAGTTGGACCTAGATTGATCTGCGCCATCAGCCTGTGGTTCAGGGTCTGGATCAGTAAGGTCCATGGCTTGGCACAGCTGCAATGCGACAGGAGACAGTCACACCTGGGGGTAGCTCAGGCAGGGACTGGGGGCCATGGCCTGAGCCAATGTTGTGGTTTAACCCCAGCCAGCAACTAAGCACCACGCAGCCGCTCACTCACTTCCCCCCCATCCAGTGAGATGGGGGAGAAAATCAGGAAAAGAAGTAAAACTCCTGGGTTGAGATAAGAACGGTTTAATAGAACAGAAAAGAAGAAACTAATAATGATAATGATAACACTAATAAAATTACAACAGTAGTAATAAAAGGATTGGAATGTACAAATGATGCGCAGTGCAATTGCTCACCACCCGCCGACTGACACCCAGCCAGTCCCCGAGCGGCGAAAAAACCTGCCCCCCACTCCCCAGTTCCTAAACTAGATGGGACTTCACATGGTATGGAATACACCGCTGGCCAGCCTGGGTCAGGTGCCCTGGCTGGGCATGAGAAGCTGAAAAATCCTTGACTATAGTCTAAACACTACTGAGCAACAACTGAAAACATCAGTGTTATCAACATTCTTCACATACTGAACTCAAAACATAGCACTGTACCAGCTACTAGGAAGACAGCTAACTCTATCCCAGCTGAAACCAGGACAGCCAAGATGGGTCCCGAGGGCAGGCGTGGTGGGGGAAGGCCTCCGATGAGGCTGGACAGGGCCAGCAAGGCCACTCCTGCCCACAGTGCCCTGATGGCAACTCCCTCCGAGAGGGATGTGTCCTCCCACCGACAGAGATTTGGGCTCAGATGGGACTTGCTGAAAAGTGATTTAATTGCTGTGGGGTGTAGGGGGCATTTTAGGGGACACAGAGCCATGGCAGGGACAGGGAAATGGGAAAGGGACATGGCAGGGGGGGATTAGAGCCAGGTGGGGGGCTCAGGCAGACCCTGAATAGCCCCAGAGGCTTGGCAAGCTTACGGGGCAGGGGGCGAAGGGGGGATTCTCAGGTGGCCCCTGAAGCCCCCCTGTGAGGGGTTCACTCAGAAGCTTGGGTTTAGGCAGGGACTGGTGCTGTGGGAGGGTCAGAGCCCAGAGCCAGGCCAGGTTTGTAGGGTAAGGCCTTGTGCAGCCCTAGCTCTGTGGTGCTAGGTGAGGGCTTGAGACAGCCAGAGATAACGGGCAGGGTGCCACAGGGGCCAGCTGCAACCAGGGGACCGGGAGCTGTGGGAGATCCCCATGGGGGCAGCAGGACGGAGACCTCCTAGCCAGGCCCATCCCACCTCCAGTCAGGAGCAGGGTTGGCGGGGCACAGGGGGGTAGCCCCAGCCCCAAGCACTGGGCACCTCCCTGGGGACAAGGACAGGGATGGGCTCAGGCCAGGCCAGGCCAGAAGTATGTCAGTGGGGTTCAGGATCAGGCCTAGTGAGTGCAACCAAGGTCAGACACAGCCCAGGGTGTGCCTGGGCAGGGCCATGGCAGAGCAGGACTGTGGTCATGAGGCCAGGTTGGGGGTTGGTCCCTGGCCAGACACATCCACAGCTGTACCACAGCTGGAAGCAGGTACACCTGCAATGCAGCCCAGGCAGAAACTAAGGCCCATGGGCAGAGGGTGTGGGCCCCAGGTGAGACTGGTCAGGGTGAGGCGTGTCAGTGTACTCAGTGCCCTGTCTGGCCTTAGGAAGAATTTGACTGGTATACATGCAGCTATTTTATAAGGTTGAAACCTTTCCTTTCCCCCAAGGAAACTCATTGCTAGCATTAGTAGTAAGTCACTGCCATCAGCTATATTTAAATGCTTCTCACATGAAATATTTTTAATGTGTCCAAAGACCAGAACTAATTCTCAGATATGTCATAAATTGCGAGGTGTCAATAGAGAGGCTGGTACCTTTTACAATACCAATCTTCAACTTAAAGGAAATTGGTTTTTATTGCACCCATCTCTTTGCCAAGTCTTGACACCAAATCTACGGAGCCAAACAACGTGAATTAACAAATTCTCGGTTGTCTGCAGCAACTGGAGACAACAGTGACTGTATTAGCATAGTTTCTCTGCTGCCAGTTTCTCGTGCCAAGCCCTGCTATCAACATATTTCACTGTGCTTCTCACTCTCAGCTGTTGTCTACCAGTAGACAGGACCCTTAATTTGGGAAGGGGAGTATTTTGTAATGAACATGTATTAGGATGGGTTTGAATTACCCATTACTTGCTTTACAAAGTAAAGGCAAGTCATGAATACTGGCTTTATTTGGTGGTTTGTGTAACCTTTTTCTTCTTTTCACCGTAACATCTGAGAACCACATAAGCATTTAATGTATTTATCCACAGAATTCCCCTGTCAATAAGGGGAGTACTATTATCCTGTCCTGGTTTCAACTGGGATAGAGTTAACTGTCTTCCTGGTAGCTGGTACAGTGCTATGTTTTGAGTTCAGTATGCAAAGAATGTTGATAACACTGATGTTTTCAGTTGTTGCTCAGTAGTGTTTAGACTAAAGTCAAGGCTTTTTCAGCTTCTCATGCCCAGCCAGCGAGAAAGCTGGAGGGGCACAAGAAGTTGGCACAGGACACAGCCAGGGCAGCTGACCCAAAGTGGCCAACGGGGTATTCCATACCATGGGACGTCACATCTAGTATAAGAACTGGGAAGTGGGGGCGGGGAATCGCCGCTCAGGGACTAGCTGGGTGTCGGTCGGCAGGTGGTGAGCAATTGCACTGCGCATCATTTGTACATTCCAATCCTTTATTACTACTGTTGTCATTTTATTAGTGTTAGCATTATTAGTTTCTTCTTTTCTGTTCTATTAAACCGTTCTTATCTCAACCCACGAGTTTTACTTCTTTTTCCCGATTTTCTCCCCCATCCCACATCCCACTGTGCTTAGTTGCTGGCTGGGGTTAATCCACGACATATCCGTACTACAAATATGGGAAATTAATCTGAGGCCTGAACTGACTGAACAGCTCAGCCAAGCTCCAGACAGGAAATCTGTAGCACAGCTAAAAATTGAACCCTGACTCTTATCCAAACATATCTTGTCTACAAGGCCATCTCTCATTTGGCTGGCCTGGTCTCCAGAAGAAGGAATGATTTCCTGCAGCAGAATCACTGCTATATTCACTTTAGCTGTCTCAAAATGGGAATAGCTGCTCATTCACATAGGCAACCATATGCCAAAGCTATGCAGTCCTGAGCATGCTGGAGTGGGGCTAAGACAGTCCAGACCCCAGTGTACTGCAAGTCCTTGCCTGGGGACACAGCTGGGTGACCAGATGGGGGTGAGTTGGGTCCTAAAGGAGCCTAAATCCTAAAAAGATTTTGAGGCAGTCTGTGAGGCAATTATCTGGCAGAGCTGCCCAATCAGTTTGTGAGAGCATTACATAATGGTTTCACTACAAACTCAGCCACCTTTGCGTAGGTTAAGCCCCTGTCCTTATCCTGGAATGGAAGAGCCATTTTCACTTGGCATTTTTGCTTCACTTTCACTTATGCAGTTCAACATCCAGTTAAGGGGCAGGAATTTCCAAACTAATTCCAGTACAACTATGCCCTTTGGCAGACAGTAATTTTTTTTTCAGTATACCTCGGTTCATTGTGTCAGGTGTAGTGGTCTTAACATTACAAGCATAAGCTGATTATTTTTAATATTGGCAACATCCTTGAATTTCACTTCATCCAAATTCTCATGTGATCTCTCATTTAAATGGAGTAATTAAAATAATTTGGTTTTATTGAGACACACAGCAGGGACACTGTACAAATGTTTTTATATGAGTTGCCAGCAGCTCTTGCAATACGTTAATTTGGGAGACTTCAGGTCTTAACTTTTTATTTTTTCCCTTACACTGCCACAGCAGAGTGATATTTAAACAGCTTCTACAAGCTAACGCCTTGAGTTATCTCCAAATTGACAGCTGCAGGCTGGGAAGTGTGAATGAAAACTTGTCTGTGCTGCTGATGGCCAAAAAATTCTGGAGTAAGGCTCTGCAAAATGCAGCAACAATGAGAAAATCTTTCTCTCCCCACCCTCCAAGCTAGTCTGATTATTTTCTTCGGCTCTCATGCTTGTGATTTCTGAGCGTAAGCTTGCATGCACTGCTGTAATTTTCTTTGTTTCATGTCATGCATGCTGTAGGTCTGCACCAAAGGGCTTTCGATGTCTTGATATTGGGCACTGCCTTTCTCTAGTATGGACTTGGGGGTCTCTCTGAATTAGTCCAGCACTTGATAATATTTAATTATATCCTAGTATCTGAAAGCCTTGAAAGCAGGTTAGTTATACAAAATACTCCAGTAGCAATTGACTACGGTGATAGTTTTTTTTTTTTTTTTTTTTTTTCTTAAAAAAGATGTTGCCACACACTGGTTACAGCATGCATTTGTCTTGTTACCCTACAAGCCCACCTACCTGTGGGCTACAAAGGGAAGTTAGAAGTGTGGATTAAACTTCAAGCAGGTGAAAGTGAACAGTTTGTGGTATTGATAAAAGTACTTGAAACCTGGGCTGTATTCCACATTCAGACACTTCACAGATGCCAGTCACTATGGTGGCAAACTCACGAAGTCAGACTAATTAACAGACTATTGATTTTGATGGCTGATCAGGTAGGTGTTTGCCTCAAAATTCAGAAACAGTTCCTTCTTTTCTGACACCTCATCTAACATGACCAGATAGATAACTAATATTCTTTCTGGTATTGTAGTAAGGCCAATTTTGCAATGTATCACAACATGTCAGAAATAATGTGGGTTACAAAAGCTTGACTAAGAAAGTAGAACATAGAGGGAGTTGGTATTTGAGCAAAGTGGTAAGAAATTTCTTTGCTATCTCCAAGTTGATTAAATTGCCCTTGGAAAGTGGGGAAATTATAAAAGGATGCATTTGGAGGGGGAATGACAGAAGAGAGGAAACTCTTCAAGGCCAAATTGTGAGGCAGAATGAGTGTAGCAGTCAGCAGGGCAAATGGCAAGGACTCAGAAATGCTATGGATATGCAGAGCTGCTAAGGACTGACTTCCAATGCCACCTGTACAGCTCTTTAAGTCATCAGCTGGGGAGTGCAAGGGACAGGGAGCTGCTGGGACAGCTTATTATCAGGAAGTAAGTCCAAGAACACCCCCTTCACTCAGTAGGCCTATGGGCTCCTTTCATAGCTTCCCAAAAGGATCTAACAATGTCCTGTGTTTTGTCTAAAATACTGCTCTGAATACAGCCTGCAGTCATACTAGTCATCTTTGCAGCAGTGGACAGTGTCCATATTCTGCAAATCAAAATTCCTTGAGTAACTCCTGTTTAAGTCTATATATTCAAATTTTTTGAATATTCATATTTTTTGCTTGAAATCATAAGAGTCTCATATCTATTAATATAAAATATGTGTATTTTCACTTTTATTCACATTAAAGTCTGCTGTGTAAAGTCTGCTTTTTACAGCCTTCTGATCTTTTGAGCAGCATAAAGCTTCTTGGACTTCAAGGTACAAGCTTTATTTCAACAACTGCCATTGATAGTAAATTGTGTTGATAAAGGGGAACAGTGAAGTAGTAGTTAACTCCTATACTGAAAAGCAGTAGCTCTTCCACAGCTATAGATACTGGTCTGTTTAAGCACACTGTCCATACACCTACATGAGAATAGACCATTTGTCATGTTTCATAAAGGTAATACTTTAAAGGGTTTTTAAAATTTTCCTTCTGATGAAACTAACTCCTCTTTAATTTATGAAGGGAAGTAAATGATTCCCATTCTAAATTCTTCTCTTGGCTGGGTATTCCTGTCCTGGTTACCTTCACCAAGACTGCTAATTCCCACTAGTCAAGCCCTGAGGCCATCATTTTGTTTCACATCCTCCCTGGCTACACTTGCTAAAATGCCCTGCAGATTCCACATCTGACATGTCACAAAGTGGTTTCCAGCAAAAGGAACTTAACTTGCTAAGTGTAAGCAGAACTGTCAAGTGAATTTGCAAACTAAACTGTTTTTTCTTGTACTTCAGAGGACTGTAAATACACTCAAGAACCTTTAACTTATAAAAGAATGTGTATGGTAAAAAGCTGCTGACAACCTACAGCTGGGAGGCATCATTAAGTGGATGACACCTGCAATATCCAAACTAGGCAACTTTAAAATATAAGACTTGCACAGCTGAGATGAATTTATTAGAAAGAGCATGTGCCATGGCTTTCAGGTCTTGTGACAAGAATACTGCTACTATCTCCGAGTTCAGTAATTTGAAAGAAGGTAAGACCCAAGTACGTTTAACTACAGGCTGGCTACTGAGCGTCCATTTAATGCAGCCACAGAACAAGATAGGTTTGATGCTTCCGTGTATCAAGTTTCTCTTATCTCAGCTGAAATAGCATGTAGTTTAATGATCTCTGTTCAAGAAAGATGAACTACAGTAGATACTGAGGCGAACATTTCTTATAAGCAGTAGCCTATTTACATATTATGTACTTAAAAAAGGTAATGACAACCTTTTTCTGCAATCTTGTTGTGTTGGGCTAAATGCCAGGAAAAGAGAACAACTTATTTTTTGAGCGTGGCGCTACAAAAAATTTAGTCTGAAGATCAGCAATTGGTATAATGAAGATCAGTATAATGAGATTTGCAAATAATTTTGATGCAAAATATGCTTTTGGAAGCTGTGATCAGTTTTGTTTAAGAAAGATGCAACAGTCCTCTTATGCAGGCCTCTGAATAAATGGAATCAAAGCACACTGTTTATTAAATTCTTAGTATTATCTCAAATTGTACAATTTTACAATGATGTTTACCAGTTTACTGACTTTTACTATGCATTTCTGCATGTGTTCAAGCATGTATTGAATATGTTATGTCTGAGTATTAACCGTACATCTATTCACAATTCAATTCCTGAAGAGGAATTTTATAAGGACTGAAGTTATTGCAGAATTTGCAAGGATAAGGAGAGATGAAAGCTGAAGTCTGCTAAGATTTAATTAAGCTCCAATCCCACAAATACTACTATCTCTAACTTTTACTATTCCAGGCTGCAAAATTAATCCATGTGCTTGTGGAATCTAGTTTTAAATGATGACAGACAGATTATTACTACTACTATCTGGTAACCTCTGTTTAACTGCAGCTCTATTCGATTTATATCAAATTAATCATTCATGTAGGGTTGGGGAATAAAAAAAAAAAGCTGATACAGAGATGTTATGCAGATACTGTGTTTCAGACAAGGCTCCATTAAGATCTTTTGTCTTCCTGCTGGTTCATTTATGAAGACCATGGGAAGTTTGAGTTTGTTTTTCCTTCCATCTCACCCTCTGAGATGCTAAACTAAAACAGTTTACCTTTGCTTTCCCACTTCTATTTACTAACTACAAACAAACATACTAAAATTAAATATGCATCATCCCTTCTAGAAGATTTTTTTTAAAAAGCTTTATTAAACATATACTCTTTAGGACACATTTAAAGACTTCTACAACCTTGAAGGAATCCTCTATCATACATAAAAGTCCTTATTTTCAGTACTGCATAAAGCAAGGAAGCAAGTGCTACTCACACATAGTAACTGAATGGTAACAGAAGCAGCCACCGGTAACTGAAACAATCTGTAGAAAACTGTCATCTCACTAAAAACTGGGTTAGTATCTGCATAGCACAGCAGGAAAAAACAATCATCTGTTCTGTATGACTACAGTTTAGTACTGAAGGCAGTACTGGTCTACTAGTATCTGTTTCTTTTTCAATAATTAAGTATATATCTTTTGAAGCATATAAAAACCCCATAACTTTAAGTACAGAGAAAGCTAAGTAGCTTAGGTGCATTTCCACATTAATAGAAGCTGCTTTATAGCATTAAACAGCCATCTCCATTTTAATAGGTGGATGAGGATTATAATCTTCAATCTGAAAGTCTTCTGCTTTGAAGTCACTGATGTCTTCAACTTTACGTAGAATTCTGAGTTTGGGGAAAGGTCTTGGCTCCCTCTGAAGCTGAAAAAAAAAGCAAGTTTATTCTATAAAGCTGATACTTGAAGGCAGAGATTTTGCGTTATAAATTAGATCTCATTAATCTCAATTCAGATTACTCTATGTAGATTTTCCCTCCTCCCCAAGAAGACTTATACTCAAAAGAAAATTATAATACAACTAAGTGGAATCTACTTTAGTATTTTGATAGGGAGCAGTAGCATAATTTTAAAGTGGATTCCCTGATCATCCAATGCACTGCAAGCATTTTCAGTTTGCAGTGCAATTCCAGTGGTTACAGATTAGATTCCTTCCAGGGGAAACTAAATTGGAAATTCTGACCCAGATGTGCGTAAATGTGTTGCAGCTTCTCACAGGAACATTCCAGTCCGAACCAATAACTAGTTCTCTGGATGGTTCTGAACCATACTAATGGCGAGGACATTCAGTCCGATTATTCTAATCAAATAAAATTCTGATTTGCTCCTACTGCAACAAATTACATCCTGAAGAAAATATAGCCTTATTCAACCAAATAGTAATACTGATTAACTCTGTGAATTGGTAAGTTATCCTTTTCTGATATACTACAAAGAAGTTTTATTTTGTGTTTATCTGTATTAGGTGGAATGGTTTTCTAAGGTTTTGGAATGAAGAAGTCAAAAGTAGGGGTACGGATTCTGGATCTCTAACTTGCTTCTAGAATAGTACACTGATGTACATTTCAATCATGTTTGTACTGTATTTCTGTGCGACCTGAGTTGAACAGAGGTTAAGGTACTACAATTATTAGGGTAGAAACGAGAAGAAAAGCCACAAAAATTAATATTTGCAAAAGGATATTCATAATACCAAGATACTTTTGTACTGGATAAGCATTGCAGAAGATAAAAAGATACAAAAATACAGAATAAGTACTTACTTGAACTTTTAGAGGTTCCACATGATTCAGATATATGTGAGCATCTCCTAACGTGTGTATGAACTCTCCAGGCTGAAGAGAAAGAGGAATACACATGGTTTTCAAAAAGTCATGTTTCAAGAAAGCAAAACATTACAATGCTTACTGTATTGATTCTCAGCATCTTACATCTAGTGTGGAATTGCAGCTTCTATACTAGGCTGGATTATCAAGACATCCTTGCAGGCTTTGAAGGACACTATCTTCCCACACTAATGCATAATTAATGAAAAATATAATGAAATTTCCACTAGCTTACCAAAAAAATTTATCTTTGAAATCCTGTTAGGATAATAGCTTTGGTAAATGAATGGAGCGCTACTGATCTGCTTGCCAAGGTGGCAACAGATGGAGCAGTGACATCCAGCTTTTCCACTCCACTTGTAATAAGTAGGACTTGCCAAAGCTGGTTTCAGACTGGTTGCCTTAGCCACCACGAAACAAAGTAGTTTGTGGCAGTGGAGATGTCAGTCACAGGGTAAACCCCAAAGCACTTATCAAGCATCCAGATGGGTTTTGCAAGCTTCCAAGTTCTGTGACTCTGTAGCCCCTGAGCAATCTAATTTAATTTATGTAGGTTTTATCAGCTATTTTACTGGCCTCTGACCAATGTAGATCAGCCCTCAGATGTGTTATGCTAAAAACCAGCAAAGCTGTGAGAGGAAGTGACTAAGAGGCAACAGCTGCTTTACAGACATAATGTTAAACTTCACTTTTTCTAGTACCTTGGCCTAATTTCTTAAGTATGTCTGCAATTGCTGTGAAGTCCAATTCTTCCCTATTTTAAGTTCCCCTTCAAGTTGCTGGTAGCAGAAGGATCAGGCCCAAATGGCCTAGCTAGTCTAATTTTTTACAA